TAAACACCTTAAACTTCCATCTTTTCCAGTTTTCACAAAAATGAAATTTATCTAAAAAACAAAAAAGTTAAAAATTAAAAATTGATTTTTTTTATATAATAGTACTCTATTCGAAGTAATATATCGATAACCATATATTATTATTTGTTAATTGATATCAAAAGTATTACATAATATACAATACTGAAAATATATTTTAATCATCAAGATGCATGGTATTATTGAAAGGATTAAGATTTAAGGAAATAATTATATCTTTCTTAAAGATTATCTAATAATGTTAGTTACTGATTAAATTAAGCTCTAAGTGAATTCTTACATACATCAAAAATGGCAACTTTCAAAAATACTTTTAAATATCTATGAAGAATAAACATTTATAAATCTCCGAGATTTGTATGCGGCCATTCAAAAAGTTAGGACTCTAGACTCGCACATTAACTCCAAATAATTTTAACGAAAAATTAATGTCAAGAAAAAAATATCCCTTGACTGAATTTTTGATGAATACATCAACCAGAAAAATTAAAGTTTGTTAAATTCATTATGACATCACTCAAAATATTTTTACTTTATTAAAAGAAAAAAGAGGAAAACAGTATTCAATGATTGAAGGTAATAATTCATAGTTGATTATGTTAGAATAATTTTATTTTTGATTTCTAAACATGAGATACGCATATATACGTATATGTTATTGTTGAAGATTACAAAATGATAATTTTATTCACTTTTCATCAATAAGGTTTATAAATATTTTTTAATTCTTTATTAATAAAAATTCATTTTTTTTTTAAACTTGATTTAATTTTAAAGTTGGTTATAAATTCCTCACGCTTCTCTCCTCCTGCATCTTCTCATACAGACTTCTCCTCTCTTCTCTATTGCCTTCGGTGGTATAGTAGGGAGGTATCAAAACCCATTATTCCAACGGAGAGAAACGAAGAGAAGAAAGCTATTCATGGAAATACTAGAACAAACTATTCTTATTTATTAATACTAATTAGAAAGATCTCACGTTACTTCAAATATGCATTTTACAAATTATAAGGAATGAACAAAAATTTTCAAAAATATTACAATCTTTAAATTGAAAACAGAAATCAATAATTATGCTTTAATAGTTGATAAACAAGAAGAAGGAATTAATTAATCATAAGACTCAAATGATTTAGAAATTAAAATATTCATCTAAAAAATAAGGTTATTTATTTTAATAAATAACAAGCAATGCAAATTTTTAATTGATTTTTCTAAAACATATTTTATATCAAGTATAATCATTTTAAATGTGCACAAAGTCTGGACTTCTATTTTACAGAAATGCCCAAGATACTTTTCTCGATTTTGCAGTATATAACCTAAAGTTAGAGTAATAAAAATTCAATATTAAAAATAAAAAAGAAAATGAAAGGCTCTTTTTAAGTGAAGGAAGCTCTAGCTGAAATTTTTGATTAAGTAAAAGATGTAAACGAACACATATTCGCTGTCATATTAGAAATATTTAGAAAGGAAAAAGTTTATGATTGCATTAGATTTCTATCATATATTTAGAATCAAATACAATTAGAATCATAAATCTTACTAAAAATATAGAATTTCCTCCAAGCTGATTAAGAATAGATATTGTCTGTTGTTAGAAATGATATGAAATAAATTACAGAAGTCTTAAAAAAATTAAAAGACCATGACTTCAATTATAAAGACTTTTCCTCTGAAAAAAATGAAGAATCTACGTTAAGTCTAATAAATAGCATCAAGAATGATAAATTCATCATAGAATTTCTGTACTTTTTAGTCCATCTTACATCTATAGATAACACTCTAATATAATGTGGGTCTAATTCATTACATATATTAGTTGAGATGAAGGCTGACCTTAGAAACAAAAATTTTGAAAATATTAAGATTTAAAATA